CAATTAAATTCAGCTTTATTTGTATAGCGCTTTTACAATGTAGATTGTGTCAAAGCAGCTTCACATAAATGGTCATAGTAACTGGAACAGTGTAGTTCAGGTTTTAATGTTTAAATTCAGTTCAGTTCAGTTTAGCTCAGTTCAGTGTGATTTAATCATTACTGAGAGTTCAAACACTGAAGAGCAAATTCATCGATGCGTAGCTCTACCAATCCTGAACCATGCGAGGCAGTGGCGACAGCGCAGAGGGAAAAAAAACTTCACCTGATGGGAGTGAAGAAAAAAAACCTTGAGAACCAGACTCAGTTGGGCACGACCATTTTAATTTCTCCGCTGGCCAAAAGTCTTGTGCAGAGCTTCATTCGCCGTGGTTGAGGCTGGAAGATGGCCTCAGCGAAGACTCGTCTGTCCCTGGAGCGTCGCTGGAATCAGACTCATGTTCTCCACTCCCCACGACCATCAGCGCAGCAGCAGCTCAGGATATGGCCTGGTCCCGGATATGGAATCCTTGGGATCATCTCGTCGCTGGTCTTGGATCCAATCAGTGACTGCATAATCTGAGGACCTCGGGATGAGTATCCCCAGGTGAAAATAGAGAATTCAGAAAATAATTAGCGTAGCTGCTGTTCATAGTGTATATAAACAAGATGCAGAAGCCTGTGTGGAAGCCGCTAGGTGATGCATTGAGTGTATGCTTTACTAAACAGATAGGTCTTTAATCTAGTTTTGAACTGGGAGAGTGTGTCTGAGCCTCGGACGTTATCAGGAAGGCTATTCCAGAGTGTAGGAGCCATGAAAGAGAAGGCTCGACCTCCTTTACTTGATTTTGCTATTCTAGGTACTAACAGAAGCCCTGAGTTTTGAGATCTTAAAGAGCGAGTTGGTTTGTAGCGAGACAGAAGGTTGGTTAGATAAACAGGAGCTAGATTATTTAGAGCTTTATAGGTGAGAAGTAATATTTTAAATTCAATACAAAACTTAACAGGCAGCCAGTGTAAGGAGGATAAAATTGGGGTGATATGATCATATTTTCTAGACCTGGTCAGAACTCTGGCTGCTGCATTTTATACTAATTGAAGTTTGTTAATAGAAGATGCTGGGCAGCCAGCAAATAGAGCATTACAGTAATCCAGTCTCGAAGTCATAAAAGCATTGACTAGCTTTTCTGCATCTGAGATGGATAGCATATTTCGTAAGTGAGTTCAGTCTGAATAAGATGGACCCAGTTAGCAAGTTTTGTTCTCATTTAAGTTTGGATATACAGTATATAGACAACGACAGCATGTTTTGTTCTTGGGGAATTTAAACATAAAACAAACTGAAAAATTGTAGAAAAGTTGTAGATGTTATAAATTATCTAACTTTATAAAAAGGACAATAAAGTGTTTTTTTTATATTTATAGGTTATATCGTTTTAGAAATATTCTATATTTACTTTCAAGTGAAAAAAAAACCAATCTTGCAATTATTTGGATGGGAAGTACACTATATAATGATAAAAATTATAAATTTTGAGATTTAAGAATGCATTTTGATTTATTAGAAGGAAGATATACTATATGTAATATTTAAAATTATGTTCCACACCTGCAGTGCCAAAAACAGCACTGTTTGTTTGGTACACATGTGTGCTGGAAACACCTAAAAACCCTCACTGTTTACAGTCACTCCCCTAATATTACAACAGTAAATATGATTAGTATGATGATATTGATGTACCACAACAATGAAAGCTTCCCATTGCATTTCCTGCGGCCCCAAACGGCTGCTTACCTTGCTTATTTGCTAAATCCGGCCCTGCACTAGGTGAGATTTTGTACGTTTTACTGAAAACCTTTTTAGAATATGTTATAGATTTATATAATTCATGAAATGGCGATAAAAAGGAGATTTTATTCTCCAAACCATTTTTTGCAGTCTAATATCATTAAATAATGTTTTAACTAACCTTTACATAATAATAATAATAATAATAAATAATAGTAATAATAATAATAAATAATAGTAAAATAACAACAACAACAACAACAACAACAACAACAATAATAATAATAATAATAATAATACAAATAATAATGATAAATATTTACTATTATATTATTTTACTTTGTTAAATTCTCAAAAACAAACCCAATCCTAGACCTGCTGTCATAAAAAGAGACTGATGTGTCTGTGCTGTTCTGAGATCAGTGTCTGAAAGCTGCTCATTCTGCATGGATTCAGTGGGAGGACCATCATCCAGCGCAGGGAGGGGCTTAGAAGGTGGAGTGGGGGCTCTGTTTCTATATTTGTCCTCTTGCTCAGTTGTAATTAGACACAGCATCATGCACACCGCTCTACTGCAGGAGATGAAGATGGAGAAGCGCTGTGTTTTTCACTGCAGTGCTCCGCTGGTTTTCATTGTGCTGTAAATCAGGCGTTTTGTTTTGAATGATTTGGGGGTCTTGCGGTGTTGTGTGTATGTGCATGAGAGAGACTGGTTACTGCGTCTGCGTGCAGCAGCAGAGAGACTGGAGAAGGAAAGGCTCAGGTGTGGGGAACTATTGCATCTGTCAGAATGGGGCTGAGCGTGCAGATAAGACGAGACAGACGACATATCAGTGAGTATCCGTCCTGCTTCCGTATCTGAGGGATAATTTTAATTACTTTGAGGAAATGGAAATCCTTGCCTGCTGTGTCATGCGTTTTACTGTTGTAACACACACACATGCATGCTATATTGTGTGTGATTTTCTGCAGTTACTGTACCTTAGAAATTGTGTAAGGTGATTATTTTTATTCTAGATGCTAGTAACATCTTAACTAGCTTTATTTTTTTATTATTATATAATTATCTGTTAAATTTGATTATTTAGTTTTTTCACAAAAAAGTAGTGGATTTGATATGAAATCTTTTAAAAGATGATTATGTTATGTAGCAATTCAAATACATATTTACATTTATTTATCAAAAAGTTTATGTATTTAATTTAACATTAGTTTATTTATATATTTGTTTTGTTTTGTTCTTTGTTTTGTTTACTTTATGTTTAGTTTTATTTTATTAATTTTTTATTAAATTATTTTTGTTTTATTTTATTTTATTTTTTATTTTATTTTATTTGTATTTTTTTTTCAATTCAAGGTGGTTATTTTTATTCCAGATGCTAGTAACATCTTAAAACTAGCTTTCATTTTATTATTATTATTATAATTATCTACTAAATTTGACGATTTCGTTTTTAAAAAAGTAGTAAATTTGATATAAATTCTCTTAAAAGATGATTATGTAGCAATTCAAATATTGTATCTTTACATTTATTTATTTTATTTTTTGTGTATTTCATTCAAAATTAGTTTATTTTATTTATATTTTTGTTATTATGTTACTTTTTAGTTTTTTGTTTTGTTTATTTTATGCTTTGTTTATTAATTTTATTGTATATTTTATTTTTATTTTTTTTAATCATGTTAGGTGGTTATTTTTATTCCAGATGCTAGTAACATCTTAAAACTAGCTTTCATGTTGTTATTATTATTATTATTATTATTATCTACAAAATTTGACGATTTAGTTTTGTAAAACAAATCCTGAATTTGATATAAATTATATTAAAAGATGATTATGTAGCAATTCAAATATTTTACATTTGCATTTATTTATTTTATTTTTAATTTTTGTAATTAATGTAAAATGGGTTTATTTTATTTATATATTTGACTATTTTCTAGTATATTTAACTGCATAATGTTCAGAAAAATGATAAAAATATTAGTTATAATAGTAACTTTGATTCTAATACACTTTGCATGCATGTCTGTATTATTATTTTAATTTGTGCAGTGATTTATTATTATTATTATTTTTTGCACTATCCAGTCCTATTGCACTTATATTGCTTTGTATTTATTCTTATATTACAGTGCAAATATTAAATTATTGGTTTATTTATAAATTGATTTATTTCTGCTGGTTGTTGAGAGCTACTGAACAAATTCGGTCATATTACTAAAGTGACAACAAATGTTTATTTATTTAAAGGTAAATTCTGTGCTTGGATGCAAAATGGTGACAGATTTACTGTAAACGGAGTGCTTATTATGCAGTTTGTTTACTTTCCTGAACCGATGTGTTTAAGCACTTCAAGTCAAAGCCTTTGTAAGTTTCTGTTAGTTTTATCTATAAATAATCAATGCTTTCATTTGTTTAATGCACCTTTGAAGTGGCTCAGAGTTGGATCGGCATCTTCTGTCAATTAAAGAAAGCTGTTCTTGTCTTTGATGTTGGAGGCTGGTGCTGAATGATGCATTACTGAGATGATGCAGAGAAGTAAATTACCGCAGACACTACAAAGACAGGAGTTTGTCTGACTGGATGCTTTATTTGCATATTAAAGCACCTGTTTTATTTTAGCGCTTGGGCTTGGGCTTGTGACCGAGAATCTCATTTGTGGGGACAAGTCGATGCTGTGATGTTTTATAGAAGACTTTTGAGGAAGCCTTTAAAGAAAAACTTAGATATTTGCAATGGAACTGCTATGTGTTTTGGGAATGTTGCAACCCAAATTCGCTGAAAATGTGTCTCTAGTACCTTTACCTTTCTGCAAAACTTCAAACATTTTAGCTACTGTATATGCAGTTTACAGTTTGCTGCAATTTTGCATTGAAAAAACTACAGGCATCAAACATGTTATCAATTAATCATTTAGAACTCTCTGTTGTGTGGTTTCTTGCACAGATTAGATTGTAAACAAATGCATATTAATGCTTGCATCACTTATCAACATCCAAATGTTTGGCTTTTCCAATGTAGTGTACTTGCTCATTAGGTAACCTGGTAATTGTGCTGTAAAGTCTTAAAATCTAGTAAAACCCAACAGTCAACTTTATAAATGAAATAAGTGTAGTTACTCAAAATTGACTGAAAGTTAATTCTACTAATTTGAAAAGAGTTTTGAACTCTGTTAAAGGTAATGAGTTAATTACCTCAATACTTAAATTGAGTAAGTTCACAGTACACTGTAAAAAAAATCTGTAAAATAACAGTTAAATGACTGTATATTTTAACAGATTTTTTCCGTATACACGTATTACGGGTGTTTTTCCGTTTATATACATTTTCGAATTGCATTGTGGGAAGGGGATCGCAGCTCAGACAGCGTTTGATGGACACCGGGACATATTTCTTCCTCTGTTTTTTCCCTGGTAAGTACGATTAATAAAACATATAACAATATTTTAGTTAAAAGACTGCTTTATTACCTTTTTATCGTTATTTAAAATGATTTTTGTCTTTTATGAAGCGCCCATGGAAAGTACAGCAGTGAGTTACGTTTAATATTGTTAATAAGATCAGACTTTATTTCATTAAGATCAAACTGAGCTATGAGTGGTTAAATGTAATTTAAACAAGCATTTACCTAATGATTTTTTACCTTTTTATACGTTTTCCTCATCAGTAAATATGGTATCTGTTCATTTACAGTTGTTTGTCCGTATTTTTCTAAACTGCCGTGCGCGGGAAGTGGCGTGACGTCCCAATCACCCACTCACTCCCTCTGCACCTGACTGGATTAACGGTAAACGTCAGTTTGTCTGTAAGAGTGTAAAAGGTATGTTAATTATTTTATAGAAATATAAATGTTTTCTTTGTACAGTGCATTGAACAAGGGATAGCATTCAAAGTTTGTGTCACTGTGTAGTTTGGTTGATATACACTGCGGTCAAGCCAGCCGCGGTTCGGAAAAACACAGTCAAGCCAGCCGCGCTTTATATTTCGGTGCGCGCGTATTATTGTCATTACGGTAATGTCAGCAGCCACACAGAGAGCGCTCCACAGAGCACCCATTTCGCCCAGAACAGAGAGATGACAACGAAATATAAGTTTATCCCCCTTTCCTCCCACGTATGCTTTATTAAACAATTTATTAGCTTTTTTGACTGTTGTTATTTAAAGAAATTGGTTTCTGGGCTTACCTTTAATTTCCTCAAGTTTATCTTTTTGCTTCAAATGATTTTATAGCAGATCAAACGGACAGAATAAATATACGATTTCTAAATACACAGAATGCGTTTCTACTTCTCCTAGCCAACTACAGTACATTGCAATTAAGGTTAAATGCAATTTTATACAACGTGGCTAACCTCAGAAAGTGAAAACAATCATAAAGTAGTCCAACAAAACATTGTTTAAGTTATAAATATATGTTGGTTTTATTTAAAGGGGATTTTGTATGCTTCTTTCAGTATATGGGATATGGGGCATTATTACACTTTAGATGACTGTAAAGACCTTATTATTTGTTATAAGTAGAATAGAACAACAATAAGATCTGATGCAGGAAGTCAAATACTAAGCATACATTATATGAAGCCTGTTTTACTGCAGCATTTTGGAGAAATGTACCATTAACACACTTTAAAGTGCTATAAAGAAATAAGTAGAAAAAAACAAAGTTTGGTTCTGATACAGGATGTACATGCATACCTCATGTGAAAGACCTCATTTAAGTTAACAGAAGAAAACTATGGACAGGACATCCAATATTATATGCATACCTCATAATAACTTACTGCAGCATTTTGGAGAAATTTGCTATTATTGAGCTATAAAGTCTTTAAAGTGTTATAAATACATTGTTTGACATAAGTTAAATAAAAGACTGATCAGGTCTGATACTAGATGTCTCATGCTATATGCATATATACAACATATGAATCCTTTTTACTGCAGCAATTTGGAAAAAAAAATGCTCATTTAAAAGATGTAGAAAAAAAAAACAATAGTCAGGTCTTATACAGGACATCCCATACTAAACCTCATATAAAGACTTGTTACTGCAGCGTTTTGGAGAAATTGGGCATTAACATTACTCAAAGTGTTATGAAGACTCAATTTTCAATAAATAGACAAAAAACAATGATCAGTTCCTGTACAGAACATCACATACAATATGCATACTACATGTAAACACTTCTTACTCCAGCAATCTGGAGAAGTGGGACATTAACAAAATATAAAGTGTTATAAAGACCCCATTTCGATTAAGAAGAAAGAAACAATGGTCAGTTCTTATTCAGGACATCCCATACTATATGTGTACTTCACATGAAATCTTTTTTTACTGCAGCGTTTTGGAGAAACTGGGTATTAACCTATTATAAAGTGATATAAAAACCCCATTTCTAATAAGTAGAAAAAAACAATGGAAAGTACTTATACAGGACATACCATACTATTTATGTACTTCACATGAAGCGTTTTTACTGCAGCGTTTTAAAGAAACGGGGTATTAACATAATATAAAATACTATAAAGACCACATTTTAAATTGGTAGAAAAAATCTATTGTCAGTTCTTATACAGGACATCCCATACTATATGTGTACTTCACATGAAACCTTTTTACTGCAGTGTTTTGGAGAAATTGTATATAATATATTTCAAAGTGTTCTAAAGACCCCAATTCAAATAAGTAGAAAAAAAACAATGGTCAGTTCCTATACAGGACATCCATACTATATCTGTACTTCACATAAAACTTTTTTACTGCAGCATTTTGGAGAAATGGGGTATTAAAATAATATAAAGTGCTATAAAGACCTCATTTCAAATAAGTAGAAAAAAACAATGGTCAGTTCTAGTACAGGACATCCCATACTATGAGTGTACATTACATGAAACCTTCTTACTGCACTGTTTTGGAGAAATGAGGTATTAACACAACAAAGTGATATAAAAACCCCATTTCAAATAAGTAGAAAAAAAACAATGGTCGGTTATTATACAGGACATCCCATACTATATATGTACTTCACATGAAACCTTTTTACTGCAGCATTTTAGAGAAACGGGGTGTTAACATAGAAAAAAAAGTACTATAAAGTCCCCCTTTCAAATAAGTAGAGAAAAACAATGGTCAGATCTTATACACGACACCCTTATCTCTGTGTGTACTTCACATGAAAGTTTTTTGCTGCAGCATTTTAAAGACACGGGGGAATTAACATAGTATAAAGTAATATAAGGACCCCGTTTTAAATAATTATAAAAAAACAATGGTCAGTTCTTATACAGGACATACCATACTATATGTGTACTTCATATGAAACCTTTTTACTGCAGCATTTTGGAGAAAGGGGGTATTAACATAACATAAAGTGCTATAAAGACCCCATTTCAAATAAGTAGAAAAAGACAATGGTCAGTTCTTATACAGGACATCCCATACTATATCTGTACTTCACATGAAACCTTCTTACTGCACTGTTTTGGAGAAATGGGGTATTAATATGATTTAAAGTGTTATAAGGACCCTATTTCTAATACGTAGAAAAAAAACAATGGTCAGTTCTTATATAGGACATCCCATACTCTATGTGTACTTCACATGAAACCTTTTTACTGCAGCATTTTTCAGACATGGGGTATTAACATAATATAAAGTGCTATAAAGACCCCATTTCTAATAAGTAGAAAAAAACAATAGTCAGTTCTTATACAGGACATCCCATACTATATATGTACTTCACATGAAACCTTTTTACTGCAGCATTTTAAAGAGACAAGGTATTAACATAATAAAAAATACTATAAAGACCCCATTTTTTATAAGTAGAAAAAAAATAATGGTCAGTTCTTATACAGGACATCCCATACTATGTGTGAACTTCACATGAAACCTTATTACTGCAGTGTTTTGGAGAAATTGTATATCATTATATTTCAAAGTGTTATAAAGACCGCATTTTAAAAAAGAAGAAAAAAACAATTGTCAGCTCTTACACAGGACATCCCATACTATATATGTACTTCACATGAAACCTTTTTACTGCAGCATTTTAAAGAGACGGGGTATTAACATAATATAAAATATTATAAAGGCCGCATTTTAAATAAGTAGAAAAAAACAATGGTCAGTTCTTACACAGGACATCCCATACTATGTGTGGACTTCACATGAAACCTTATTACTGCAGTGTTTTGGAGAAATTGTTTAATATTATATTTCAAAGTGTTATAAAGACCCCAATTTAAATAAGTAGAAAAAAACAATGGTCAGTTATTATACAGGACATCCCATACTATATCTCTACTTTACATGAAACCTATTTACTGCAGCATTTTAGAGAAATGGGGTATTAACATAAAATAAAGTGCTATAAAGACCCCTTTTCAAATAAGTAGAAAAAAACAATGGTCAGTTCTTATACAGGACATCCCATACTATATATGTACTTCACATGAAACCTTTTTACTGCAGCATTTTAAAGAGACGGGGTATTAACAAAATATAAAATACTATAAAGACCGCATTTTAAATAAGTAGAAAAAAACAATGGTCAGTTCTTATACAGGACATCCCATACTATATGTGTACTTCACATAAAACCTATTTACTGCAGCGTTTTGGAGAAAGGGGGTATTAACATAATATAAAGTGCTATAAAGACCGCATTTCAAATAAGTAGAAAAAAACAATGGTCAGTTCTTACACAGGACATCCTATACTATGTGTGGACTTCACATGAAACCTTATTACTGTAGTGTTTTGGAGAAATTGTATAATATTATGTTTCAAAATGTTATAAAGACCCCAATTTAAATAAGTAGAAAAAAACAATGGTCAGTTAATATACATGACATCCCATACTATATCTGTACTTCACATGAAACCTATTTACTGCAGCATTTTAGAGAAATGGGGTATTAACATAATATAAAGTGCTTTAAAGACCCCATTTCAAATAAGTAGAAAAAGACAATGGTCAGTTAATATACATGACATCCCATACTATATCTGTACTTCACATGAAACCTATTTACTGCAGCATTTTAGAGAAATGGGGTATTAAGATAATATAAAGTGCCATAAAGACCCCATTTCAAATAAGTAGAAAAAAACAATGATCAGTTTTTGTACAAGACATTCCATATTTTGTGTGTACATCACATGAAACATTCTTACTGCACTGTTTTGGAGAAATGAGGTATTAACATTACATAAAGTTGTATAAAAACCCCATTTCAAATAAGTAGAAAAAAACAGTGGTCAGATCTTATACAGGACATGCTATTCTATGTGTGTACTTCACATGAAATCTTTTTGCTGCAGCATTTTAAAGAAACTGGATATTAACATAATATAAAGTACAATAAAGACCGCATTTTAAATAAGAAGGAAAAAACATTTGTCAGTTGTTATACAGGACATCCCTCACTATATGTGTACCTCACATGAAAACTTCTTACTGCACTGTTTTGGAGAAGCGGGGTATTGACATTATAATATAAAGTGATATAAAAACCCCATTTCAAATAAGTAGAAAAAACAATTGTCAGTTGTTATACAGGACATCCCATACTATATATGTACTTCACATGAAACCTTTTTACTGCAGCATTTTGGAGAAACAGGGTATTACATAGAAAAAGTACTATAAATACCCCCTTTCAAATAAGTAGAAAAAAACAATGGTCAGATCTTATACAGGACATCTTAATCTATGTGTGTACTTCACATAAAAGCTTTTTACTGCAGCATTTTAAAGAAACGGGGTATTAACATAATATAAAATACTATAAAGAGTTTATTTTAAATAAGTAGAAAAA